TACCTTGACGGCCTCCGCGTGGGTCACTCGGGCCAGGGATTTGTCATTGACGCGCAGAATCTGGTCCCCAACCCGCAGCCCTTCTTTCTCTGCCAGGGAGCCTGGCTCCACCAGCGACACGTAGATGCCCACGCCGTGCTCCGAGCCTCCGCGGATGCTGAAGCCCAAGCCCTCGTGAGCTTTGGCGCGCCGCAAGCTCACCAGACGCACTTCCCCGGGTCCCGCGCCGTCGGGGCCACCCCAAGAGGGCTGCCTGTAGGGGGTGGTGGCGGGCAGGTAGAGGCCCTCGGCCGTGTACTGGTCGAAGAGCAGCTGGTCGGAGCGCGGGATGACCAGACGCAGCATGGGCAACAGGCGCCGCTTGACCGGGCTGTCCAGCAGGACGCGCAGGGTGCGCACCAGGTCGAAGACGTTTCGGCGCGCGTGGTACGCGTTCAAGCAGTGCGTGAACTGCTCGCGCTCGGCCTCGCTCAGCAGCGCCGTGAGCGCCTGGTGCAGCTGGCGCACGTTAGCAGACAGCAGCCGCAGCCCGGCGCCCCCGCCGCCGGCCCGAGCCCAGCGAGCCGGTGGAGGACGAGCTCACCGACAGGCCGTCCAGCTGCGCGTTCATCTCCCCGCCGAGCCCCTGCCGGACTCGGGGCGCGCGGTGGGGTGCTGCTGCACTCGCGGGCTCCGGCGCGACAGCGGGATCCCGGGAGGGTGTGGAGATCACAGTTGGAGTCTGGTTTGGGGGGAGGCGGGGACCTGGCTCTATTCGGGAGATGCAGAGACGGCGGCGGAGTCCGGATTTTGGAGAGTGGGGAGACGACGGCTGGAGTCTGGGTTTTGGGCACCAGAAACCGAGGCTCGATCCTGGGGAATCGCGGAGATCTCTGCCACAGCCCCAGGGGCGCGAAGGCAGCGAGGGTCGCAAAACCGGAATCCGGGGACTCAGAGACGGCGGCTGAAATCTGGAGGACGCAAAGACGGCTGCGGGATCCTGGGAACCAAGTGTTGGCGGCTGAAGCCTGGAGGTCGCGGAGACTGCGGCTGGAATCTGGGGGGACGCGGAGAGAGCAGCTACATCCTGGAGGGCACAGAGACCACGGGGAGCAGGAGAGGGTGGACGCAGCAACGCGGACCGCCCCGTCACACTGTCCC